GTGCGACCAATGTGCAGCTCACCAGCTGCACAAAGTAATTATGAGAACTTCAAGACATACAGAAAGTTTTGTGCACTGACAGGTAAAAACCAGAGAGTAAAATCATGGTTGTTTTTGTATTATATTGCTGTGTAGATCAATCTCACACTGAAGCAGGATGCCTTGATTCTTTCTGGAGTGAAATTCATATAAAACAGTTCATAGTGTAGACCAGATTTAATGTAAAGAAATTTTAAAATGACTTTGCATCAGAATGATACCTTGGCTTTCTCAAAAAAAAAAAAAAAGTTAATTTTAAAATTCCTATACATCCCTTCTTCTTGGCTCCTCCCCCTGTATGTTATTTCCCTCCGTATAGATGGATTTTGACAAAAGAGATGGTCTCCCAGTAATTTTTATGGCCTTTTTCGTAAATGACATAAATGTATTTGCTGTCCTCTGGCGAATCTCCCTTGAGTGATGTCATAGACGAATAACCGCTTGGCCCCGCCCAGATCTGGACTGCCTCCTTTTCCCATGACTTCCCATCAGAGAAGGACCAGCGGAGAGTTAGGTTGACCCCTGTGCGAGCGAAAAACAATTAATCTTCCATGAAGCTTTCACTGTGTTATTTCTGAGTAATGCTTTGTGAATTGCTCTTCCTCACTGTGCTGAGTGCTGGAGGGGTTGGTGAAGTACATCACTCCTTGTTTCTGCAGGGCTCCGGCTGCGACGGCGGGGTCGATCAGTGTTTTGTCAAACACCAGCTCCTCCACAGGAAGAGTCTCACCTCCGTCCAAACTCCGCACTATTATTCGACAGCGGCAGTGGTAGTTGTTCTGGTTGCGCACATTGATGACTATACTCCCGTCCTCGAGTTCCACTGGCTGTTAAGCATGTGAGAGAGTGTGTCAAGTCAAATAGAAAGTGAATTAGACGCAAGCTGTTTAATATCAAGCCTACACTGTAAAAACATGCTTAAGAACCACTGCCTTACAGGGCTTCAAAGGCTCACAAAGAGCCACTCAGTAGCAGAAAGTCTGACATATTGTATTTCTTAACATGCAAGAAATGACTCAAAGCACTGCAATGGCCACATTCAATTAAACCCACTAATTATTATATACACTAGTCAACATTTGAAGTGGATCAAAACCTTTCATCAAAGTTGTCCTAAAACCAAAATGCAATCTTGTCTTAGAAATACTATGATAAACTTTTTTTCATCCACTTCAAATGTTGACTACTGTAGTAACACTTCAGTATAGCTACACACTGTGTATCGAGTTGTTTAATATCACCTGACACTCATCTGGGTCGAAGTCCAGGTCTTGTTTAGGCTGGTTGTAAGGGATGCTCTTCAGGGCAGCTCCATATCTCCAGGATTTACCATGATCATCACTCAGGATGCAGAAGACCCCGTCACCAGCGATGGATCCGTGGCCACACACCACCAGACGGCCCACATTGGGAGCATACCGTTTCTGTGAACACAGGCACATGATGGACTAAAAGCACGTGAAAAGGGCTGGAAAAGTACCATGTCAGCTTTTTTGTTCTCCTTTATAAGCCAACACTTAACCACATAGACAATAAAATGTAGTTTTATATAACCCAAGAAGTCACAACAGCATCATAAACAACAGGAAGTCATAAACCATGCTTTAGTTTTCCCCTGAAGGAGGAACAGAAAGGAGACAACGCTAACCACACCTGTATGCCGAAGCCAGGCCCTGGAGCAAAGCTCTTCACCCCCAGCTCAACGGAGAGGTTTCGTGGGGCGCTCCAGGTGAACCCGTCATCCAAGCTCTGCACCATCATGGTGCTGGAGGGGTCGCAGTGGTAACGGTGGAAACACAACGAGTAGATGAGTATCACAGCACCAGTCTCTTCATCCACAACAACCGAACCTAGATTCAACCCATCTTCTAGAGCACCATCATCCACTATGAATGAGGTGGGAGACCAGATGGCTCCTGAGAGATACACGAAAGAGATCGCAAGTCAGTTTCATCTAAAGTAGCCATTTATGACTGAAGTGAAGGTGGATGGCCCACCTTTGTCTGTGGAGCGTCTCAGTGCGATGAACTTTGCGCCGATGTCACCGGAAGACATTTTCCTGGCCTCAGAGAACGCCAGCAGACTTCCGCGCGTGGTGAAGGTTAGCAGAGGGATCCTGTAAGTGCTGACCTGACCGGCTCCACCGCCAATCCATAGCAACTGCTCCTCGTATATCAGTGGGTCAATCTGTGGGGAATTGCAACAGTAAAACAAAGGAACAAAGAATTGACTTATGAGAGATCTATAAAATATATATGTTTTTAAAAAACTATGCGTCAACACGTTTAATCAGTGCAAATTATTCTAGGACAAAAAAAAAGCATTTGACTGTAATATGAAGATAAATATGATTAAACTAATAATAAAAATAATATACGAGCATGGATAAATTAATTAATTAAATAAACCCTATAAAATAGACTACTTTACTGGTTCTTTCGCAGTATCTCTAAGAATGCGTGCGGCTCCTGAGAGATACACGAAAGAGATCGCAAGTCAGTTTCATCTAAAGTAGCCATTTATGACTGAAGTGAAGGTGGATGGCCCACCTTTGTCTGTGGAGCGTCTCAGTGCGATGAACTTTGCGCCGATGTCACCGGAAGACATTTTCCTGGCCTCAGAGAACGCCAGCAGACTTCCGCGCGTGGTGAAGGTTAGCAGAGGGATCCTGTAAGTGCTGACCTGACCGGCTCCACCGCCGACCCATAGCAACTGCTCCTCGTATATCAGTGGGTCAATCTGTGGGGAATTACAACAGTAAAACAAAGGAACAAAGAATTGACTTATGAGAGATCTATAAAATATATATGTTTTTAAAAAACTATGCATCAACACGTTTAATCAGTGCAAATTATTCTAGGACAAAAAAAAAGCATTTGACTGTAATATGAAGATAAATATGATTAAACTAATAATAAAAATAATATACGAGCATGGATAAATTAATTAATTAAATAAACCCTATAAAATAGACTACTTTACTGGTTCTTTCGCAGTATCTCTGTAAGAATGCGTACATGACAAATAAGCTTAGCTGGTACAGGTTAATGTGCATGTGACTGATTGTTTGAAATGTACTTTTCACTGGGGTATAAAAACACAAAAAAGCAAGGGAAGATGTAAATACGTAAATATAATGATTTTTAATAAGACCTGTTAACTAGCACAACAGGTCAGTCAGTGCACTGTATTCTTTTGGTGAAAACCCACAAAATACTTGTAGTGAGGCATCACTTGCATCATAAAACTTTAGTTCAATTACACACTTCATTCCGCATATACACGTTACAGTCAAACACAGTACCAGCATGTCTTTAAAAGCACTAATAATAACAAAAAATTGCAGTTTGAGGACAGACCAGGACAATATCATGTGACAGAATTCATGTATTTACCTGAAGCTCTTCTGCACGCGCGCCGGACAGCACCGCGATTACAAGTACAACTCCAAACTGTCGAATACAATCCATTGAAATAATAAAAGACAGCGACAACAGCGCAGATATGCCTGCAATAAGCAAACAAGAAGCGACAATTTCCCGATTAAGGTATTTATTTCCTTTAATAAGACTTGTGAATCCTGGCGAATCTACATGGCAGCCACACACGACTCACATCCTTAACCAGACAGTCACGTGACCGCCACCGTCTGAGTCACATGCAAGAACAAAATAGGCCGGAAGTGGGAAATATGTTATTAGAATAAATATGATATTTCATTTATTAAATTATCTTAAAACGATTATTGTTTTAAATGTAATGGCGTGATCTTTGTAGACTCGGTCGGTTTTTATTTTTCACTTTTGTATATTTATACAGCCTATATTATATTTATAATAGGCTATAATGCATTATATAAGATTATATGTAATATTTTTTACGGAACAATGTCTACACTCATTTGATTTCTCCTAATAGAAAAAATAAAGTAAAAAACTTTGCGTTTCTGAGGCATTTTGGAGTATAAATGAAGTCCAAGTGTTCTTGTGTACTCTTGTGGTCACTTTTGTTTCCAGCAGGTGGAGTCAGTGAATGAGCAGCCAGGCATAGACACATGTTTATGGGCACAGGTGTTCAGTCCAGTGCCAAGAGCTGTCTGTATCAGAGTCTATGATCATATTTTACTTGATTAAAGTTGATTAATCAGTACTGTATGTGTTCATATGGAGCTCTAAACCTATGATTGATGTAGTATCTTCTAAGTGTGCTGGATTATATAGCAGCAGAGATTCTAATTCTGTTCACAATTTGCTAGATGAAATTTTGAGGGAAGATAACTCTGTCCATTTCACAAAAGGTGCCGTTATTACACACATAAATGTCTTTCATAATTTAAAAACAGAACCTCTTTAGCCTTTGGGAAGCTATCTGTAAGCTATCTGTAAGATTATGATTTTTGTTCATGAATAAAAGTACATCCTGACAAACAGCTTGACAAAACAGATGTTATTTTACTAAGTACACTATATGTATTGCCATACAGTATATGAGTGTACTGCCAATTTTATTTTCATGCTTTTTGTTTTTACATTTTCTTCCCCCTGGCCTTAAAGTCTTAGCCAACAAAATAAAATAAAAAAATTATTAAAAAATCCGACAGACATTATAAAAATATGATGAAATTGACATTTTAGTTGGGAGGACAGAATTCACCCGAAAAGAAACCCCAATTTAACACATCTACCAGGTGTATAAAACCAACACACTAAGCCACTCCTAGAAAACAGTGCAGCTGGACTTTTGACTCAAAACCTGTTTTGTTTATTTTCTACAAACTCAATGACCAGCACCAGTTTTGGCCACAGTAAATACACGTAGAGAGACCATAACATTATTATCTCCTGTCTCTTTCTCTTTCCTGGGCTCAAGCACACACATATTTCGCCATGGGCCTGTGAAATTGTGTGTGTACATTCCTGCAGTCATGTGTTCAGACTGAGCTGAGTCACAAGCTGAGAGAAAAAGAAACTACACAAACTAAAGAGATAGATAGAGGAAGAGCACGAGGGGGAGGGTTTCAAATCAGTTTTGCATTCACATAAAGGAGGAAGACACACTCACAGGGACTGAACGAGAAAGAGAGAGCTTACAAGACCACGAGAGGAGCCTGATAGGGAAAAAGGAGAAAGACAAAGCAAATATAAAGAGACACATAAGTGACAGTTAAAACAGTGGGAGGGGCCTAACAAGAAAAAAGAAGGAGCGAAGGTTGTGGCAACAGCAGGCATGACTGAGAAGAAACTGAGGCAGACACAATGCGAGAAATGAAGAGATGGATTTGCTGTCACATTCACACTCTGTTCTTCAGCAGTTAAACATGTTTGCTGTATTCAGAAACTAGCAAAGGTGAGTGAGAATGAGATGGAGGGATCATTTTCATAGACACATGCTGTATAATATCTATGTGTCTATCATTTTCTTCAGCTTGCAGGCTGCAGTGGAGTCAGCTGTGAATGCTATCGTGTCAGTTGCTGTGCTTACAGGTTTGTTGAAATTGCTGTAAAACCATCATGATTTGAGTTCCCTGGGTCACAACGGTGAAACATTAAAAGCATTTTCTCTATAATATATGCAAAGGTTAATGCATATTCATGCATATTATGTAAAAACACTGCTTGCAGCCTCTTACAATAACTCGGATGAACATACAGAATTAAAAAAAAAAAAAAAAGTTAAGAAATGCTGTCTTGTTTCTTTATTGTTGAGAAACCTAACATCTTCCTTACTTTCTTGTATACGAAACTCTAAAAAGAGAAGTTGACTGCAAGTGTTGTGTTTCCTGTTCTTAAACAGGCAGTGCACTGTGCCGAAAGCATCGACTGAGACAAGCTGGGCCCTGACCAAAGGTTTGCCATCATGCTCTTTTTTAATATATATTTTTTTGGCTTGTTTGAAGTTTGAAGCCTTCGTCTGAGTTTCCTTTCTGAGTGAGAGATCTCATTTGAATGACATATGTTTTTTAGAATTATGGAATTATATTATGAATATTGTACATGTTACATTACGTCTTGACCTTCCTAGACATCATTAGTTTGTGGTGCTTGTTGAGGCAATATATTGTGGCCATAAATTAAAGTTGAAATGAAATGAAAATTCACCCATCAAATACAACACATGGTAACAATAGAAGATTATAGTACTTTACCATATTTTTTTCTAATATATTAGAAAATCCTTGATCATTAAGGCTGCATAATAATATTTCCCATCACCAAACCAACAACTGTCATTATAGGAAAATGAATTGGACAAATCAGGCAGGTCATCTGAAGGTTTAGCAGACCTCCTCCTATAATGTATTTGTTTATTTATATGGAAATGATGTTCCATCGTTGCATAACCATTCTGATTGGTTAGTTTGTGCATCATAGGAGACTAGGCAACAAGACTCCTCTCTTTCATTTGTGCAATAAAGTCACCTAGATTACTGAAGTTGATTAAAATAAATGTTTATTAATTAAATGCAACTTAATTATTCTTATAGGGGGAAAAAATGGTCAAAACGAGAATTTTATTTGAGTCTTCAGTTGAATCTTATAGCAATTCAAGTAAAGAATGTGCAACTGTTTTCTTCAGGTGATTGCTCAGCAGCTCCTGATGACCTACAGTGCACTTTATGTCAGACTGCTGGTCTCAAACAAGCTTCCTGCTCCTCCCCAGCGGCCTACAGGTGCAGGGAAAAATCATTCCACTTCCTGTCTGTGTCTGTGCGAGTACGTGGAGCTGAAGGTCCTGCGGTAGACAGACTATAATGACTATCAAATCTCACATTCAAAAGTATTAGTCATCCATTTCTCTGGGATGATTGTTTTGCTGTCAGTTATGATATAGTCACAGACTGTTCCTGCTGCTCTTGAAACTGTTATGATTTCATCTGTGTACTGAAATATATTTTTGTTTCCTGACTTGTGGTTCTCTATTTATACCATATGCTCTCCATGTGTGAAAGAATGAAGTGACAGTTCTTGTATTAACCAGACAAACTGACAAGACATCAGTCGCACTGATCCAAAACCTTGCTCAACATAGCTGTATTTAGTTTTTTTTATTCATGACTTGATCTTTATGAGATTCTGATTACACCCTCTCAACCAGGTACAAAGCGATAAAGTGATAAAAAGTGATCACCTCAACATTTATCAACATGGATTTTTGCACATTTCCAGATGATACAGGATATTGAACCAAGCACAAATTTAGGATGGTCAAAGGACTTGAGTTTATCGGAACCTTCGGTACCTTTCGGTATCGGTACCTTTGTACAACAATTTGTAGTTATAAAGTTATTACAGTTTTTTAAAATTGGTTTGGTACTACTTTCACAAGCAAGTGGTACATTTTCAAAACTCTTAGTACTAATCTCACAACAAATCATCAAAAGTGCACTTTTTTCAAACATTTCAGCATATTTTCCATTGTTTTAGTACAATACACACAATCACAAAATATCCTTCTCACTACACAAAATAAGTGTTTCACAGTAACTGCCTTTCATGAAGCTCTTACGATCAAACGTTTCATTTGCATGACTTCTCATTCAGTTTAATGCAGTAGTCTATTATTTAATCTAACTCATTTTAATGGTTAATCAGTGAATCATTTGATGCATCTATAGATTCAATAGACAGATGGCATCAAATACAGCATTTTATATTACATTATGCCACGTGATACTGTATACAGAAGCATTACCATGGTAAAGACATTATTGATTTTATGTGAGATATGCAAGTTAGGTAACGTAAGTGTATTTTCTAACATGACAGTTATTGCCTGTTTCACTGTATTTCAGCAACAAAGGTGATTTGAAACATGAATCTTGCATTGCTTGCTCTTGAATGAACCGACTGTTAAAAGTACTAACTTGAAAGAAGATGTTACTGTTGTGTTTTGGTGATTAAACCAAATGTTCTCAATACATATCACGATGATCTTGTGTTCTGAAACAATGATTATGTGGCATGAAAATATGTACAACTACAATGAAATCATGAGATCAGGTTTTGAAAGAATGACTAGTGGTGTTACAAGTGTGATCAGTTTAAGAGATTTGAAATTGTACACCTCACTTGTGAAAATGGTACCAAACCAATTTAAAAAAAACTGTAAACATACAGTACATACAGGAGGAGTACGCCCATCTAATTTCTAATTATTTCCAGGATATAAAAGCAGCCTCTTAATTCTTCACGATGTCAGTTCTTTCGGCATTCCTCCTCCCCTTCTCCTTCTTGTGTTTCTCCTCCGTGTGTTTTGCCAATGTAATCATCAATAGGCAAATCAGAGCTCGAGTAGAACATCCTCCCTGAGCCCCTCCATAGCAGACAGCCAAAAACTGCTTACCATGTTTGCCAAGAATATATTAGTTAACTATGTTATTTAACATGAAAAATACTTCTTAATCATTTATTAATCTCATTAATTCATTTCAACATTTAGTAATACATTATTAAAATCAAAAGTTGTATCTGTTAATATTATTTAAGGAAAAAGTTAACCCAAAAATTGAAAATTAGTTGAAAATGTATTCACCCTCAGGCCATCCAAGATGTCGATGAGTTTGTTTGTTCATCAGAACAGATTTGGAGAAATGTAGCATTACATTGCTTGCACACCAGTGGATCCTCTGCAGTGAATGGGTGCCATCAGAATGAGAGTCCAAACAGCTGATAAATACATCACAATAATCCACAAGAAATCCACACCACTCCAGTCCATCAATTAACCTCTTGTGAAGCAAAACGCTGCGGGTTTTCTATCTATTATAACACTTCCTCCAGAGAAAAGTCCATCTTCTGTTTTTCTGTCACATAAAAAACCACCGACATATTTAGAACTGTTTTGGTCTGTTTGGCTTGTAAATGGTACTTGATCTGTGCATATTTCTCTCCTGATTCAGATGGAGAAAACAATTTTATGGACAGAGGACTTGTATTTTAGCTGGAAGCAATGATCTGAAGTTAAAAATGTCTTAATGATGGATTTTTTCTTATAAAACTGATGGACTGGAATGGTGTGGATTACTTGTGGATTATTGTGATGTTTTTATCAGCTGTTTGGACTCTCACTCTGACGGCACCCATTCACTGCAGAGGATCCATTGGTGGGCAAGTGATGTAATGCTAAACTTCTCCAAATCTTAAGAAACATCTTCCTAAAGATGAGTGAAGCATTCTGTTATTGTTAGTTAACACATTCGCTAATTGATTGGATAGTGAAAAGTGTCTCTGTATACAAAGTAGTTGGAGGGGTGGGGCTAAAAATAAGAGGGACTGATGATGTCAGCCAAATAGGAAAGTTGTTTAAGAGGCGGAGAAAGTTATTTACATATTGATGGAAAATTTTAAAAGGCAAACATTTTTGTTTGTTTTGAATAATGTGCACTGACAAATCATTCACAAAATGACCAGGAGCATGTTTTTGAAAGTAAGGGCCATTTTTGATTTGTTATCTTAATCTGCAGTGAGCACAAGCAGTCGTTAAACATGAAATATGTGATTTTGCTGCTTTTTCACTTTCCGTGCGAACAGAGAAATGACTTGTCACTGGAAACTTGTCGTGTCTAGTTAGGACACTGTGTAAAGCGCGGGTCTTACGTAAGTCTGGTGAGGGGAGGACAGTGCAGGGAGAGCGGAGAGAGCCAGTGTGGCAGAGATAGGAAATGACAGTAAGGGTGTCAACATGAATCAAGCAGCGAGTCAGTGAATCTACACTGCACTGCTCAAAGCTGGGCACAAATAGCACTTGGGTATGCAATCCTAACCAACAGAGCACAGCGGCTCCAAACAGCACAGCGCTGTGAGGGACGTGTACACCAGATGTAGCCCACCAACACAGGGTGTTAATCAGCCTTGATGGAGCTGTGGAGGTGATTGCTGGGTGAGTACATAGGCGACACAACACACGGCGTGAGGGTCAGAGCAGAGGAGACAAAACTGTGTTGAGGAAGACGGCAGGCCTGCGGTGTTAAATGATTACTGAAACGATGGGTCTCTTCGGGAGGCTAAACGACCATCTGTGATCTGGCCTGCTTCCTTCTTCTAACTCCATTCATCTCTCTTCTCTCTCACCACTTTCCATTTTGGATGAAATTCACAAAGAACACACCCAGGGCATATTTCACCCCAAAATCAAAAGATACACATGAGAAATCCCATTGTAAAAATGAAGAAGACTATTTTAGGCAGTGTCATTTTAGTATTATTTATACACTATTACAGCATTTATTTGTAGTAGTAGTAGTAGTAGTATTAGTATTTATACACTTTCATATAATGAACAGCACTATATTATTATATTTAATAGCATCACTTTAATATTAGTGCTAATTCATATTTATTCGTTTTAGTAATTTTAGTACATGCAACTTTTTGTTTTCCCATCTAATATTTTAGGTTTATTTGCAATTAATTTCAAACAAAAACTTTTTATTGTTCTAGTTTTAATTATCAACAATATTACTGTTTACAGAACCATTGTGAAATAAAAACTGCAAAAAACAACCCCCCCCCCCCCCCCCCCGCTTCTGCAAATTTTTAAAAAACCTTTTGAAAAAAAAAATCCAAAAAAAACCCCCCCCCCCCCCCCCACTGCATTATAGTAAATTTTTTATGTAATACAATGACTACAATTTAGAGTCTATATCCATTAGACTAAAATGAGAGCTCAAAATTAAAATTTCAGAAACAAATCATGGTAATAAACTTTGCTTACAATACAGAACAATCCAAAAGATGAACATAATAATCATTTCCTCATTTTACCACAAAATAAATGAATAGTTTAAAACATAAAGTAACATGAGATGAAGACTCACATGGCCAACATAATACTACTCACTTTTTCTCTGTAACCCATCT